CTGCTATCACATTTACCTAGCCAAGAACAGATTGAACATATATATATTATTCATTGCACTTTTAATGAAGTTTATATTGATTCTTTTTTCTTTAAAGGAAGCACATATCCTTTAACAGGAAAAAGTATGTCTTACAGCTGACTTAAAATGTGGTCCTTGATAGATGTTACATATTTCTGAAGGCACTTAACACAAAAGTTTGAGAATTCTTAGGAATATTTCAATATCAAACTCAGGACAAATCTAAGGTTACTTTGTCTATTTTTAATCTGAGAAATTTTGCAGAAATTCAGTGGTATATAGATTAGAAAGTATCTGTTCTGAAAATGGGTTTTGTATGGATCTGTGTGTTGCTTTATAGTAAATTAATAAAACCAGTTATTTTCTAATATATAGAAGTTTCCAGAAAATGAGCACATCTTATCACAAAGACATTAAGTGATTTTTGTTGTTATACAGAGAGATGTCCTGCTATTGGGGAAGGAAGTTTAGGAAAGCAAGCTTGTGTCAAATGATCATTTTCCACTGTGACATAATTTCTTCCTCGTTTGAACAATAACTAGGAAAACAATAGCTCTTTATGCTTGCCATATAACTGAATATTTGTGTTATTTTCCATTACTGTCCAGGTGCTTGTACTTGGACAGTCTGTTTCCTTATCTAACTTCAATATGTAATTTCTAATTATACTTCTGTTTCATAAGAAAGGTATTGTTCCATATGGATTTGGGAAAAATATGCTATTATTTGCATCAAAATGGTTATTGCAATAAATTGAACTGATTTTTTTTTGGATGAAAAACAAGAGTCCTTAGAAACCCAGAGAAAGTTAGGGACAGGGAGAAAGGATCCTGTGAGAAACACCAGAAGATAGCTTCAGAAAAATAGAAGAAAAAAGAGTAGAACGATTCATGGAATTCATGAGAGAACAGGAGAGGAACATGATTAATTGTGATTAAGCTAACTGAAACCATGAAGAATGAGAACAGAATACTGGGTTTGAATTGTGGCTAGACATGAGTCATTAAAAGGGCAGCTCCAATCAAATAAACCAATGGAAGATAGGTGGAAGAAACACTGGAAGAAAAGGGGGAACACTCAAAGTAACTGCAGTCAATGTTGAATGTGCCTGGAAGAAGAGAGAGGAAATTGCGAGGTAGGATGAAGAGTGCGTTTTTGAGAAGAGGGACTAAACATTTTCATATTTTGAAGGGGGATGAAGAAGAATGAGAAGAGAATGAAAAATTAAGTGAGAGACTTGTCTAGGAATTGAAATTGGGGTAAGGGAGATCAGATCATGGGACCAACAGAGGAATTAAAAAAAGACTACAGAAAAGGCACATCCATGTCTGGAAAGGAAGACTTGTAGAATCAGATGGGAAAGTCAGGAAAGAGAGATGGTTATGCTGAAAGTAGTCATTTGTGTAGGAAAGAAATCTGCAAGATCTTATTTGGGAGGTGATATAGAAACATAACAACTTAAATATTTCATTTTAAATAGGCTCTCTTGCATTCTGTGGTGTGTATGAAAAATCTGAAAAGCGAAAACCTAGAAAACTCACCAGCTGCTAGATGTATTTGCAGACTTCAAACTGGCATAAGTATGAGAACAGTCTGCAGAAGCTTCATTTTTAAATTAGAGAGGAAAGAAACCTATTGGGTTGTCCAATGTATTCCCTTGGTGATTTTTTTTTTCCCCTACCATAAATTCTCTTGTGCTTTATCCTATCTGCTGTCAAATGTCACCATGGGAAAGACTATTTTCTTAAATATTTTCTCTCATGAAAACTGACTAATGCGTTCATTTTTCAGCTTTAAAACTGAACAATGTTTAAATGTTTTTATTAGCATAACTCCAATTTTTCTTTCTGGTTAGCAATCACAGACAGATGATGCTGTATCAAACTCTGTAATGGAATATGTTACATTTTAAAGTATGAAAGATAAGGGAAAGTGAATGAAAGATTTCCTAATGACTTTGCCATCTCCTGATCACCAGTATTTTTGCATGATTATTACCAAACACATCATATTTACACTGAAAAACAGAAAATTAATTCTGAGTATAAATAGTTTATAAACACATTTTCAAGTTAACAATGCACATTGTGCAGATATTTCCTGTGTTTATCCTGATTCATGTAGCATAGGAGGAATATGTCAAAGTCAGGTCAACTTATGTAATTTTTTCCCTTCTATAAATGTTGACTGCTGTGCTACTCTGTTTAATTCACTAGCAAAGTTAACTGTTTCCTGGCAAAAAAATAACAAAATTAAAAAATATTCAGCTTGACCAAATTCCTCCCTGATAAGTTCGCTGAATCTAACAAAAGCAAGATTAGTTTGATTCCTTTGATGCTGTTTTGACAATGCTGTTCTGATTGTTCTTTCCCATTGCAAAGGAAAAGCAATTTACTTAAAACAGATTAAATTACAACTGCTAGATTAAATTGAATGTTGTTGTCAAAGTATAAAATATATTTGCTGAAACAATTCACAAAGTAGTGAGACCCAGTGTCGTACTGTGATTGAGAATAGCTGTACAAAGACAGCTATTCAGCTATTCAGATCAGACTCTGCTATTTGTTTTCAGATTCTGTTCAAGTCAAAATTTGTCCATTTAACGTCTAAAATGACCTCTAGACAGCTCTCCAGTGAAGGTGTTGGTCTCTTAAGGCTTAAGTGTTTGGCTTCTCGGAACAGTATCTGGTTTGAGCATGACAAGTGTGAAAATTCCTTTAAGGAGATGTGTTTCTTCACAGCCAAGCACTCTAATGGGGTGCTACATGAACTCCAAAGCTTTTCTTGTCATGAAATAGATCATAAAGGCACATGGAGTTCGGTACTGATAATTGCTTTGCAGTGTTTTCTTTTTCTTCTTCTGTTCTTCTGCCTTTTTTTTTTTTTAAATAAATTCTTTCTTTTTTTGTGGGAGTCAGTCTGTATGTCTACCAAGGGTAAGATTCACTTAGAAAAGGAAAAGTTTTTCTGGGTATCATCTAGGAATGCCATGCAGTCTAGCTCTAAACTTCATGTTTGTCATCCCCTAGCTACATGACTACCCAGTATTCTTCACTGGGCTGTCAGCTCTTAACATAATGTGCCTCTTCCACTTCACCTGTGGCTGAAGTAGTACACTGACCCCCAAATTATGCTATGTGCTAATACCCCAAACTGAAAGAATTATGCCATGGAGAGCAGTTTTTTACCGCCTCTCTGTTAACACCCCTAAGTCCTTTTTGCATCATATTTTTGTAGCACTGGGAGAAATGTGGATGGTGAGGATAATACATAGAATAAAGTCATTCACCATGCATTAAATTTCCAATTAGGTATTCACTGTATTTTTCTTAGCAAGTGGTAGTAGTACCTTCATTTCTTACGTTTTAATCAAGACTCTAGTCTCTTTCATGACATTTAGCAGTTTCACAAATGTATTTGACTGGTGTGAATTGTTTTTCTAAAAAGTAATAATTGCAGTTGAATCTCCCATTTGACAGGGTAAGTATTACCTTCCAGATGGGAGCTAGACTTTCTCTTAGCTAAATGGCCGCTACTTTAATAAAGCACTCAGTGTCTTTGTTTTGCAGGGCTTAATCTCTTTGAGTGTTCGCTCTCTGATTGTGTACATCCATAATACATCTCATGTAGGAGGGGTTCAGAAGATACCAGTCAAGCTCTTCTGTCATTCCAACCAGAAGTCTATGTTATATTCTCCACATCATGGTTACTCTGGTTTGTGATAGGCAGAATGAACACCTGTACTCATTTATACATTCCATCTGTAAATATGGAATGAGTAGTGGAAATCTGTAAGAAAAGGAAGGCCCTAATTAATTCTGTATTGATCAAAATTCATGCTTTGAATTTTGAACTCAAAACTTATTTTACAGCATACAGTTCTATCCAGCTAAACAAGTCTTGGCTACATGAATAACAAAGGATAATGTGCTGCAGAGCATTTTGCAAAATTCTCTTTGGTGGTGAAAAAATCTTAGAGCTGGGAGCAAAGGACACAGATGTTTTGCTCTGAAGCTCCAGGTTTTGAACTTTTGACTTGATTTTCTGTAATGTCCATGGTATCTGTGGTTGTGGATATACATACGCCTTGTTTCTGATTCCTTTCTGGACTACCCAACAGACAACTTTGTCTGAGCAGCCATACAACACTGTATGTGTGTGTCTTAAGTATTCACCATGCCTTCAAGCTGGTTCCATGCAGGAGGAAACAGTATTCCATCAGTGTTCATTCTGTGCCTCGGAAACATTGAAGTATTTTAAGTATGATAAAGAACTTTGAAAAAAATGGCAAGTAATTTACAACATATTTTCATATATAAGTTCTGTTAGTTTCTTTGTAATGAGATTGCCACTTAAAAAGAACATCATTCTGAGGTATTTGTTATAGCTACACTGCAGCAAATATCCAGATAGTATATGTAGAATTTTCTCACTCATTTTTTGTCTTGAAAGCACTCCACAAAATCTCTAAAATTTTGGCTGAGCCACTGACTGTTGGCAGTAGCAATATTAAAGCAGGCAGGGTAATATACTGTATGTTTTATTTAATAAGAGCAGTCAATTTAACTTCTGTTCCTCTTCAGTAGTAAAAACATGTGACCAATCCAAAGATAATAAATAATTTGATTCTTTCTTCTATCTGTAGAGAAAAAGAACCAAATTTATTGCCTGTGATTTCCTAACTGAGTGGTTATACAAGTAAGTTTATCATGGCTTTTACTATTAATTATATTCAATGTTTCAAAGGCATTAATTTGCAAATAGAATAGCTACAATTTAAATTAATATGAGTTGTTTTATTTCTTTTTTTGTTATCAGCAAGAACCCAAAGAGGAAAGATGAGTCATTCACAGAATTCTTTTGCATTCCTTTTGTTCACGACTGGCTCAAAGACCAGTAAGTTATTGCAGTACTCAGAGTAACGTTTCCTCCTTTTATTCTTTTCCCCCTGCTATTCCAAAAAAGTAGTAGAGCTTTGATGCGTTACAATTGTGCCCTCTAAATGCCCTTTACTGTGTGCAAAAAATAACTTATGTGATACTTTCTAACTTGGTAGTGTATAGTAACAAGGTATTTTGTGTCAGAGTTGTTCTCAGAGCAATTAGTTTAGAGTTCTTAAGCATTGTAATTGTAGAGTGTAGGGCATTTGAATGGTCTGGTACTATTATGAATATCTTTGTACTAACAGCAAAGCAGTGTTTTCAGTGCTGCTTCCTACAATGGAAATCTTTGAGGATATATAGGCTAGAAATTCTTCCTCTAACTATATGCAGCTGTTTTAAACATACCTGTAATAATCCTTGGCATCAAGATGCATTTCTGCAGACATTTATGACTTTTCATCTGAGAAATGAACACTTGTTTTGGCAGCCTCAGTCATATATTCCTCATTATTCCTGAAGAACCAAGCTACACAGTCGTTTTGAAAGAAATGTTACTGTCCTTGAGACTGCAGTTTGTTTTACAATGTAGCTGTTGTATGAGAAAGGAAGAAAAGTAAAGTAATAGTCTACAGTGAGAGAATAAGAAAATTACAGAGGTCAGATTTCAAAGAAAATTTTCAATTTGAAAACTAAATTGGAGACTAGGTTGGTGACTTGTGAAAACTTAGATTAATATCTTTGTAGATATGTTTACAGCATTACTCAGTGTAAGTGGAAATTGAGTTTTCTTGAACTCTTATCATATGAAACTTGGAAGCCTTGAGTCACTGATCCGGCCAGAGAAAAGCTCCTGGACATTCACAGGTCTTTAGAAACAATTGGGTGCTTGTGGCATGAACAGGTAGTTAACTTTGACTATCATAGAGGTGGTCAAAGTTGTGTAGGAAGTTTCTGCAGTTAGACATGGGCATCTTTGGAGAGTGACCCATATAATCTCAACTCCAATACCTTCAGGTACCTGCTACTGCATCATACTGTCCAACCACTGCTGTTCAAACCTGCCACTAGTGGGACACGTCTAACAGTTTCCTTCTGTAGATCGCTAGGTCTTGCCAACAAGATTCCTGTTTGAGGCAGTGAATTCTGTAGTTCATAAACTGATTATGAACTGCAGTGAGCTTGTCATACTCATTTCTTAAACATACTGAAGAGCCAATGGTTAGTAAGGCACTTTTGATACCACTAAATTGTGAGGATGGATATTCATACCTAAAAGAAATATCTAAGGTTACAGTTTTACAAATGTTTCTCTTGAAAGTAAAGCTGACATAAATGGTTCCCTGCTATCTCCTGTTCTTCACTCCAACTTGTTTGTAGGCAACCTAATATCACCCTGTCTGTTTTGCATTGTTATTCTGATCAGAAATCTCCTCCAAATTGGAAATCTCTCTGCCAGAATGAGAGAGTTTAAATAGCTATTTAAAATACAGGTAATTTCTCCAATCCAACAAACCTGAAACTGCTTAAGTCAGCTTTGCCAACGAGAGAAACAGACTGTGGAATCACAGCCTGAATGACTCACAGCTTCTGCTGGTACTTGTGCTCCTAAATAACAGTGACAGCTCCACAAGGACACTGAAGTGTCAAGTCCTGCTTAAATTGATACACATTTGATCTCAAATCCTATAAACAAGTAGGCCTTTAAAAATAATAATTACTAAAATTATTATTAAAAACCAACTTTTCGTGAACTTACCTTAAAATTACAGATTTCTTAACAAATATTTCTTGTGAGGAAAGCATTATTAAAGCAAAGTGAAAGATTGCAACATTAAATAAGAATAAAAATAAGATAATTTATTATGACGTTCTTCTGGATATGTCATAAATAGTTGATTATTTTATCCTTCCAGATATCCCATTAAAAAATGTAGTTGATTCTATGCTTTTTATTGTCATTTCCATTTTTGTTTGTAAAGGAGTTTTCATTTTTAACATGATTTATGACTATGTAAGAGGCAATATGCTAAAAAGTGCTGGTCAAATTTTGATGGAAAACATCATTATCCCAACTGTTTAGATATGATAATAAAGGGAAAGAAGTAAAAAGTGTTGCTGCAAATTTAAGGGGTAAACTTTTGTGTTGCTTTTTCACTTCTCTAAATTTGGAAAGCTTTCTGAAAGGCCTGTTAAATAGGAATACATTTCTATACTGTGTTAAAATAGGGTTTATCTGTGCAAAGCGGTCTTCATGCTTTTAAAAAAAACCCAAAACAACAAAACAAAAAAAAGAAATCCAGAGGGATAAATTCTTGTTCTGTCAGAGATCCAGCTTTTTCTAATATATTCCATACTTGAGTATGACTTTTTTGGCTCTCCTCCAGCGCCTCCAGTTTTTTCTTTGAAGCTCAATGTTTCTTTAAGAATAGTCAAAGCCACAGTCTTATGAACCTCTCTCTGTATGATGTGTTTCTAAATGAGATCTTGCAGCCTACTTTTCCTTTATAAGGAGACCCAAATGCTGCATCAGATTCCAAAATTTTCAGTGCATACATTGCTCCTTCAAAAGCAGGTTACTGTAGGTGAAGGGGATTGTAAAATTTGAATTTGTTTCCAGCTGTAGTATTTATAGCAATTGCTATGACATCAGTAAATAAAAGCCTCAGTATAGTTACCTCATCTTCCACTGGGCTCAGTATATTACCAGTAGCATTGACTAAATATCATGATGTCCCTTGGGAATCCAAGCAGATTTCAGAATCAATAGAAGGAGCAGTCTCAGCACTGATGAGTAATCTACATTTCGCATCTAGGAGAACAGAAAACATTTCTGTTGTCTTAAAGGACAGCTGTACCTTTCAGAGAACAGGAAACTGTTTTAACAAGAAACTAACAAAAGGTTTTGGAAAGTTGCTGAGATACATACTGGTGTCCCTATTCCTACATTCAAGACTGCTGATATAGCCAAGTAAAGTAAGGAGAATTAGAGCCTTGAATGTTTTCTACTCCTATAAATATGCTAATGAGCAACACAGTTGCCTTTTGTCAGCATTTTCCAGTGGTGTTTCTGTTTCAATAGCAGTGAAGCTCAATCACAAGTAACCAAGCTCCATGTACTGAATCAGGGACAGGGAAAGTGTGGAATCTGTGTTTATGCCCTGATCCCCCTTAAATTTTACTTTTCTGGCACAGATAGGCTGAGTCTTTGAGTATCATGGAAGTATCATTACCCAACCTTCTTTAGCATATTAATGAAAGAAATATGAAGAAAACAATAAAAAGTTGCACGGCTCTGAAAAATACTGATACCATAAAAGTCTACTGTCACATGATTTAATAATATGACAGTATTGGTCAAGTTCACCTTCAACCCTTACATTCAATGAGAGAGAACAGTGTATGGGTCTAGCTTAGGAATAAACATAAGTATTTTCCTGGCTGTTGAAGATCAGTCTTTGTATGCATATTTTATAGGGGTTACAGGAACTGAAGGTGTATTTTATAAACATTCATTCACAATAATTTCTTTATCTGCATTTTCTTATTTTCTACATAGAGGTATTTACTTGATACTCAGTTCGGAAGGACACATTTCCTGGATTAATCTATCTGTGTGTACCAAAACAAATGTGAAGATACAGAGAAAATAAATTTGTCATGACTTTAATGAAGTGAACAGCTAAGATAAATATATATATGTCTATAAATTATTACTTAATCTGAAGTAGTGGCTTATTACTTAATCTGAAGTTGTGGCTTTTTGCCAAATATCTGTATATGCATATATAAATATATACATTGATTTTTTTTTTGTCCCTTCCTCCCCCCCAGTATTTTAATTAGGTGAAGTCTGCTGGTCTCAGCTGCCTTTACAGTTGACTTCATTGTCAGTTCTCAGATGGCCAATAGGGATAATTTTGCACGGGTGACTGATTTCTTTCTTTCCATAACGTGCCCAGTTTCTACAGGCTTTGCTTTCTGCACACTGCTATTTCACTGGTTTGTCTCCAAACTAGCCATGTTTAGAGTATATTTGATTTGCATTATGTTTTTTCTTTAATTTTCTTTAATAATTTGAGCTTTAATTTTTTTTTTTGGGGGGAGTATGATGAGCAGCATATTTAAATGTAATAACAGAAAAATCCAACAAATATGTCAGTATGAATGTTATTCTACGTGGATCCAAGTAAAGAATTGCCATTCCAGTAATGTGGCAGAATTCAAGTTAACAAAGGAGACATTTTGTACTTAAAAACCTCCAACTATGTGTTGGAAAATTGCACAAAGTTTCCATATAAATATTTATATTGTGTACTGGTGTTTTATGAGGCTGAGGTTTTGTGGCTACAAATCCTGATGCATTGTTGAGACTTGATTAATTTATGTAAAGATTGTCAAAATGGCAAAGAGAAAATTGAACATGTATTAGTCGTTTGTGACATCTTCCTAATGTTGCTGTTAGAGCACTAGTTGCAGATTATTTTTGCTGCTGTTTGTTTTTCATGTTTACAGAATACAAGGTCTGATCTGAAGTACACAAACATAGATGGAAATTTCCCCATTGACACAAGTGGACTTTGGAAAAGGTCCATGTTTTATTTCCTTCAGTCCAGGACCACAAACACTCTTACAGATGACATAAATATTGGTCCTACAAAAGAAACTGAGGCAACGCATTGCGACTTGCAAAATACATAGCAAGTACGCATTGCGACTTGCAAAATACATAGCAAGTATGTATGCATTGGAGAAGGCTGTTTTATAATTAAAATGTATAAATCCTTCCCAAGCAGAAAGCATGTTAAGAGGCAAGAAAGCCAGTATAATTTTCAAGACTGTTTCTTTTGTTCACAACCTATAGCCTTTATATTTAAGGATATTCAAAATACAAAAGTATATTTAAAATAAAAACCAAAACAAAACAAAAAAACAAAACAGGAAAGTAGTGGAAGATGTAGAGAATGGAGGGGTGCAAAAGGTCTAGATATATATATCTATATATATAATTATCTTGCATTTAGCTATTGACCGTATCAAGGAACTTTTCTTTGGAGAAGGTGACAGTGAAGCAGGAGTCACACTTCAAAATGTCTTCTCATTTGCACTTCCTTTCTTCAGAAGATTCTATTTGGTTATTCCCACATTCAGAATCCTTCAAAAATGTACACTCCATATAATGCACAAAAATGTTTTCTTATATACTGTAAGGATTTTTTTTCTCCAAATACTTTTCTCTTATTCTAGTGCATGTAAATTACTGCAGAAGAAAAACAGTACTTAGTAATTTATGTCTGACTGTTGAATAGTTGTATTAATACTTAAAATGTTACGAAGAAGGGTCTCAGTTCACACTCAGTTTGCCCAGTGAAAATGTTCCAGGGTATTTTTGTCAAGTGTCTATGGGAATATTTCCCTGTAAACCTGTGAGGCTCATATAGTGATAGTGTAGTATGTGATTAATATTTCTAATTGGTTTTAAATACCAGGTCACATAAATCAGTATTTCAGTGTCTGGTTGTTTATGAACAATCTTTTTCCTGTTTTTCTGGGTAAATGATGTTAATATTATCTATAAGCAGAGATTTTTAAGACATTTATTTTGAATCAAACCAATACTTCATCTTTACACAGTTTTGCAACTCTGGATAGGCATGTAAGAAGAAGGCAGGTGCTGCTGTAGTGCTTCTAGATTCTCTGAGTAGGAATAAGAAGTACTGAAAATATAAAAGAAAACTACTTTGAAAAATTTGAAGAACACTTTTTTTGATTGTTCAGACCAGCATCTGCATTTTTGGAGTACTTTACAAACCAAAGACTTTCTCAGAATCCCTTTTGTAAGAGTTACACAGATCACCATGGTCATTTACTTGCATGTCTTACATTTATCCCTATTCTTTCATCTGTTCTTTTGTCTTTTAGAATATGACTTTTGCAGCCACTCTGTCATTGCCGGTGTTCATACATGATACAAATGTTCAAGAACAATAACCATTTCAGTCAAATTAAAGCTGAAGTGGTTGTGACTGTTTTATATGGCAGTGCTTGTCATATTGAAAGGCCTCTGCAAGGCTTGATTCTTGTTCTTAGGGTTGCTTCAATATTTCTGGAGACAAGCTTTCTAAAACCAGAAAGAAATCGTGATCATTCATTGACTGCACCCGCATATTTCACTGTCACCTGCACAGCATCCCCCCAGGTACTGATGCTCGCTGTAGCTGGCACAGCGGTCCTGCAGGCAGCCAGCTGTAAGGCTGGTGCTTGCATTCAGTGGTCGACTGCTACTGTTAGGAAATAGATTTGAATAAAAAGAGCAATTACAGAATCTTGAAGTATACAAAGTGAAAATGTTGCTTGATTAGCTTTTTTCTTATATTCCATTTTCAAGGAAGGAATCAGACGTATTTGTAGGACAGATTTGTAACGTAATTACAATTGGGGTTTCTGGACATTACAGTGTGAAAATACTGATTGTATACAGTGTCCATCAGCGTGACTATGAACCTCCATAGGTTTGCTTGTCTATTTTGTTAAGAAGATAATAGGGGACCTTTTTCCCCCCACCAATTTTTGAGAGTTTATTGAGAAGCCCAGCTTCTGTCCATGAGGAAATCAGGTACATATCTTCAATAAAACCCTTTTTCAATACCTCATACGTTCCTTTAATGCAGGTTTGTTTTATATCTTCTGGCTGCCAACTTCCACCTGCATAATGCAATACAGTTAATAAATATCTTACATAATCAGGATCTGTACACGTTGGCTCAGAAAGCAAGAAACATGGTTCTGGAATTTAACTTTCCTCCGCTCAGTGTCTGCTTTATGCAGATTTGGTAAAATACAATACTTAAGAAAAATCATTTTACTGATTTTTTTTTTTGCAGGTGCAAGTTACGGTAAACAATATATCTGATATATAGATCAAAATAGATATCAATATGTTCAATATGTGGGCTTTTAAGATCGTGCATAATCAAAGACAAAATAAGGAGAATATAGTTGGTGTACGTTTTACTGTCAGTTTTAATCTTCTTGGAGATGCACAGCTGTCTCCTGTCACAGATGACATATTCTCTCTTTTCCTAGTTCACTGCTAAGGGGTGATTGCCTCTGCTCAGATTCTATTTTTATTTGACCTGAAGCCAATTGCGTATATTCTCTCAGACAAAACTGGACCTGGTGTGACTTCTTTTCTTTAAAGCTGCCCTCTTGAAATGATTGATATTTGCCAGTGAATGTCATACGGAAAATTGTGTCCTGTTCTTGCTTGATTTTGTTATATTGGTTTCTCCAATATAGTGTTGGATTATAAACTAGACATGTTTATAATTTGAAAATGAAAGCAAATGAGTGCTGGAGTCAGCCTTGCAGTCTGGGAGAAATCTCAATTTGTTCTTTAGAGATGTACTCTTTCTTAGAGGAAGTTCAGTGTCTTTGATATAACTGCTGTAAAATATGTAGGTCCTTCTGTGACTTTCCCACTTTAAATTTTGGTTTTCAAAAAGATCAGAAATAGAACAGAGGATGAAAGCCTATCAGCCAAACCAGCACAGTCCAACTTCATAATTTTTAAGTCTGATTATAAGAAGCAGTTAGCTCAGGGAGCCTTGCTTGTCCAGCAGTTATGATTTCCCTTGAGCAGTAGAAATGCTAATTCATGGACACAGAGCTAAAACTGTTTAGCTTAATGGAGAGACTTCTTTTTATTTTTGTCTTATTTCTACTCTTCCAAACAAACAGAGGTTTCCTTTCACATTAAAATAAATGTAGGCCAAAACCCAGCTGACACAATGATGAGACCAATTTAGCTGAGTACACAGACTAAAACTGTGCAATCAGTATAGCATTTGATAATAGTTAAGATTGTGCTCTAAGTTGAAATGTTCCTTTAGTGAAGACAAGCCCTAAGAGAAAGATGTCAGAGAGCATAGGAAACTTTCTAGGCCAGAGCCTCTTATGAATGAAATTAAGTGAAAGGAAAATAGAAGCTGTCAAGCCTCCTAGCTTGGGCTGTAATATACTGTAAAATAAATTTCCAAAAGAAATGGCAGAAACCATGTTCTAGCCAGAAAATATAAGACTGCATGAATAGCTTGTTAATTGATGATCTTTGCAGTGTATGTGTCTTTAGAATATAAATACTGTAAATAATGTTCCTGCGTGGGTTGCATGTAGATGATTGCTGCATCCAAATTCATAACGTTGTGGTCTTCGAAGTCAAAGCTGTGTTAAATCTGTGTCCCACGTCGGGAGAGTGGCTCTTAGCAGCCATTCCAACATTGTGCCAAGTCTACTGTTTATAACTGGTATTTTCATGAGTTGCAACATTATTGCCCTATAGTTCATTAGTTTTAAATTACATTTATTATAAATTAAACTATGCAAATGAATTGTGTCTTGTCCTTTCCAATGGATGCTTTCTGATCATTGTACATGAGAGAGGAATCAACATCCGTAGAAAATGGCTTTTGGGAAGCAAGATTTGATACAGTGATTTGAGTTTTTGTTAGTGATGGCTGAACTGTAATTATAGGGTGTTTCCCAATAGAATTGGTAGCAACAGAATCACCGAACATGCTTTCAAATTACTGTGTATTTTGACTGAAAATTGTTCACTTCACGAATGTATTACTTTCTTTTATCACCAAACAATGTGTATATGCTATCAAAAGTAAAATTTCCGCATTTTAAGAACTTGTTTAGACATTTCTAGAGATGGATCCATGCTTATGCAGATATGATAATCATTACTTTTCCCAGTACATTTTAGTTTTAAGTGAAATAATAACGTAAATTAATGTACTGAAATACATTTACATTCTGAGTGTTTAATAATTCTTATAAACATTTGTCATAAGTCTCTTCATTGTTGCCTGCACACAAAAACCTCCTCTGCTTTACAAATGGCACGCCTACTTCTCTCGACCCCCTCCCACTGCCTCAAACCTTACCATAATAATAGGAATTTTAAATCCATGTAGAAGAATAAGAAAAATTACTGCACTTGGTTTGCCATTTGTGTATTATTGTTTTAAAGAAGAAATTATTGTAGCATACATAACACAATATATATTTTTAAGGGAGATATTTTTGCACTTTTTATCTTTGGTTAAAATTATCTTTCAATCTGTTGAACAAGCTTTTTCTTTTTTATAAAATATACTGTTAGAAGAAAAGTATTTTACATTTATAGACTATCTGTTTACAAAACATTACTATTTTTTAAGTCCTAGACCACCAATTCCTCTGTCTCTCCTTCTATCAGAAGAAGCAGCAAGCATAATAATTCAGTCCTTCTGGAGAGGTTATCGGGTAAGAGTAATCTATAATTATTTTGCTTGATGTTGAAAACCGTAGGACTGTGAAGGCCCCAGGGAAAATCCTTACATAAATTTTAAGTAGGGGATACTATAAATAGCTGCTGAGACCCCCATGGTTCATTGGCTTTGGATGTTGCTCTGCCTTATGCCTAGTGACTAAAATTTTTTCACAGGCATTTATGCTGGTGTAATCTCACTGTTTTCCTCAGCAACAGAAAATATGTAGAAATTCAATTTTCAAAAGTACAAACACTTAGCAATTTTAATTTTCTTAGTTGATCTTTGACTAGTTGCTAAAGTATAGTGTTATTTTGCTCCACATAGGGATATGTGAATGTGGAGATGCACAAGGAGAATTGGTGAGGTCTGTTAAGAAATTAAAGCATACAGAAACGAGGGAGGAAAAATTGAGACCAAGAATGAGAGATGTAGGAGAGGCATGAAGGCTGTTATTCAAGGAGAGGGAAAACAAAATGGCTAGCAAATGTTGCAAACCATACTAGTAATACAGCACTAACACAATTTCCAATTTAAGGGGGAAAAGCAAGGCACATAAAATAAATAGAAAGAAAATTGCTAATACTATTATTTTGGAGGGTGACAGTGATGCTAAGCCTAGGATATGAAATACATTATTTTGAAAATCCTGATCAGATTCTGTCAAATATTTCTTTGAAAGGCTCTAACACCTTCATGCCTTGGAAAGAAGTAGACTTGAAATTCAGGTGACTTTGGTGACGAAGAAATGTCTTTGACTGCCTTTATCAAAATTTAAGCTTGTAAATAGCCTCCAGATATAGCAGTAATTTCATTATGATAGACAGTGAGACATCTCTGTACATCAGGTGTTCTTTGAATAACAATCACTGTAAAACACACTCTGTTAAGTTCTTTATTACTTTTATAACAAACATGGATATATGAGTGGCTGCTATATTGTGCCATGCAGCCAAAGGTGATGAAAATAATCTTCTTGACTGATAGATTTTTGTGACATTTTTGCTTGTTCGTTTTCCTTTTTTTAAACAGCAACGGCATTGACACTAACATTAATTAGCACTGACAATATCACTGCAGGCATCCTTACACTGGAGTATTGCAAAGGCAACCATTATCCAATAACAGTTATGTTTGCTGAACTGTGCAAGGTTGCTCAGATACCTTGTGCTTCTACCAAAGCTTCTGAAGAGCGCTATCCTTCCTTGCTATGCATATTAACTTTAAAATTTTCACAGTAGTTTTTTATAATTCTAAACAATTTCCCAGAAATGAGAGAAACTGTAGCTATAAAAAGTAGGAGACATCACAAATAATTCAGACTATAAAATTAGCTGTTACATGTTTTACCTTATTAGAACTGAAAGAACTTGAGTCTTTTAAAAATTAAAATTCAAATCAGAATATAAAAAAAAGATCATTAATAACAAGTTACTACACGGGGTAATGGGTTATCCTTGGGCTTGTAAGTTAAGAAAATGCTAAGCTTAAATGAGATTTCATCGCATTAATGATAAAGTATATTATGAAAATTTACTGAAGAATAAATAAATAGCTCTGTCAGGTAACACTGATTTATTGTGGTAGTAACTGAACAATTACAAATAATGCCCTTTTGCATTCTAAGAATATTACTGTGTGAGGATTTTAAACTCTCTTCTGATGTTTTTCATTAAACTTTGTTTTATAATTCACAGAATTTGGAACTTTTAAACACTATTATTGAAATTAAAATTTACACATTGTGATAACATTGAATAATTAAACACAAGCACACTTAGGTATTTTACACAGCACTGTGATAAAAGACATCATTGGTCTTCTCAAGATACACTTTAAAGGACATAAAATCTCATGCCATAGGTACTTGCTTGAAAGATGAGTGGAAAATTATTCTGGACACACCGGATTTCAGAAAACGTAAAAGGTAGAAATCTGGGCTGGATAGCGTTGTTTTTAACAATGCTATCCCAAATGTGAATCTTGTAAGTTTTTTATTCTTAAACAATGTCATATAAACCCCAAAAAGAAGAAAAGAAGGGGGATTCCCTTCTCAAGGGAACGGAAGGTCCGATCTGCAGACCTGACCCGCTGCACAGGGAGGTCTGCTGCCTGCCTGGGGCCACTGTAAGGGATGTTAAAACTCCCAGTAGTGGTCAATTCAACAGATTATTACCCACTACTGGTGTTTCAAATTAGCAATAACGAAATCCATTATAGGAAATTAAAAGCTATAAAGAAAGACTTCAGGGCACTGGGTGAAATGGTAAAGGGCTTAGGAGCTCAGGTTGTCTTTGCCTCATCCATCCCAACTACATGGAGGGATGAGGTAAGGAACAAAAAAACTCAGGAATTAAACTCAGGAATTGCATTGTAAGGACTTCATATAACTTCTGTAGAAAATACAGAACTATATTAGTGTAATGGGATATTATTAGAAGCCTAAGAGGTGTCTGATGTCAAGTCATTGAGTAAAAGTCTTTATTGATCATGTAACCTTTGTTGTATTTCTGCTTTGCCAGTGCACTATCTGTAATATAGCAAGTAACTTCTCCTAAGTGGATTGAAAAGTGCTGTGGGAGTTCAGCTGCTGTCTATTGCATTGCTAGCTGCACCACAAAGGAGAAATTTTGGTGGTTGTTTTGTTTTTTTTTAAACTAGTGGAAAACTTAAGTCCTGTTCTGTATGTATCTCAGGAAAGTAGGAGAAAAACAGTGTAATAGAGTTCAAATGTGTAGAGTAGAGTAATAGAGTTCAAATTATAGAGCAAACTCATTACCATAAAATTAATATAAGAAATTTTCAGGAAAAATTAAATAGTCGGCTTCCTGAAAGCAAAAATGTATGCAGGAGAAACCAAGCTTATTGCTGCTTGTTTATACTATGTTATTCAACTTCAGCCTGGATCACTAGGAAATTAAGTCCTAAAACATAATGATGTTTTTATATATGTAACATTTAGAAAAAAACAGATCCTGCATTTATAATAATTCTTTATAAGTTGAATATCATTCTAGAGAATAGTCACTTACCAGTGTCTAAGCTAACACTAGCATGTTCGCTTCCCGCTACTGCAGAGGGACATTACCTATTCTGGATTTTTGCTCTAGAACTGGAGGTAGCACTTGTGTGAATGCCAAGACACACAACTGGCAACACACTGCTAATTAATCAAATCCTGCTTAGAACAAGTTTAAGTAGGAGAGTGGTAAAAGCTGTTGATGCAAAGTTAGCTCTTTCTTATATTAGTAGGATCTACACTAGTACAAAAGCAATAATAGAAGAATTCAACTTAAATGGAGTCAGGGCCTGTGACTATTGTCATTTTATATGGAAACAGAATTACACCCTTCATAGGGGTGATTGAAAAAGAATAGATATCATATAATGCATTCCAGTTAGTTTAAATAACAGATTAATGGCTCTCCTATTTGTGAAATTTGTATGGCTGGGATTGTCAGTAAGCCTATTTGCAGCTGGTAGCAGGTGTGAATCAGTTTGCTCGAATAAATTTCCTGCTGTATGACCCTGCATGCTCCTTTTCTGCTTTATTATGTTGGTTAATGGGTTGGTTTTATAGTGTTGTGGTTTTCTAAAGGCACTAATACCCTTCAGCATAATGCTTTAAGTTTTAATTAAAGAATAAGTGCCTCACTGCAATCACATTCTCAAGAGTCCTTGGCAATCAAAATGATCCCATCATATTTATGTTTTCAATGGGTTTTTATTTCTGTATAAGTTGAAAACTTTAAACCCCTGGGATTGTGCTTTTATTTCAGGCCCTGCAAAAAGGATGAACGTCACATATTTGCCCAGACACAGGCCCATGAAAAAAACTGTCTCATTGTCTTGGGTAACATGGAGATATATAATTTTAGTTGCATTTTCTGTTTTCCCATTCCTAGGCCCGCTGCACTAGTGAAATACAAGAGCTACGGCAGTGGCAAAAGCAGTTGAGAGAGGACAAAAACATTATTGAAAGAGTGAAAGAATTCTGGATTAAGCAGGAAGCCAAATGTAGGTGAATTAAATTGTGTATTTTAATGATTTTTCTTTTTACATTAAATTATTAATTTTTGTATTTCAAGTCTTATTAAGAAATAGGACACACAGTTGGACAGGAATCACGAGTGAGAAGAGAAGACAATGTCTGTTGGACATGCCTGGCTCTTTCTTTACAGTCACTACTTATTGTAAGTTAGTTGTCTATGTAGCTGAAAGCAGCAATTAAAAATACAGTACAGGGCCAAAGCCCAGTAATTTCAGGGAACTACCAGCTACACAGCATGTCAATACTGATTTTTACCAGATAGGTTATAGTATGTTTTTTCTGAACTGTGGGGTTTTTATCTGGTAAATATTCTACTGGCATTTTACTGTAGTTATTTATAGCACAACTTGGTTTGTACAGTTCTAAAAAAAGAAAACAAACCTGAACAACCCAATAGAATTGCCAAGGGAAATAAGGGCAGATTACTTTAAGAACTGAAACTGTAATATGTTTCCTTTTTGCCCTGATCGTGGATAAGTCTTTACTGACAGGACCAAAGTTATCATTCAGTTACTCAGGCACAGTGGTGTAATTATGATCATTCGCCCAGCCCCTTTGTCTGTTAATGCAGGAGAGTTCACTATTTCCTCAACCAGTCTACTTTTTGTCAGTCTCTGTGGGCTGGACTTAAATGTGACACATGTAGGGATGTATGCACCAACAGTGTGTAGAAGGGAGGGAAAATTCTGTTGTACCAGTCACCATTGTGTGGTCCTTCAGTCTGATGACACTGTCGCAGATGTGTTCTCAGATGGATCATTTTTACCCTGAACTACATAAGATCATTCAGGGTGCAGGTTCACATAGTCAGTTGGGTCAAACTGGGAGCTTTCTAAAGTTTGGTCCCACTCTGTAGCTCTTGCATCAACCTTAGTGATTGTGTTGCTGCACCATGGCTTTGGATCAATGAGGGTTTTTGTTATGGGACAAGTAAGTTATCCACACTAACCATGCGATTGCTAACACAGACAAAAAAGCTAACTGAGGAGAGACAGGGAAAATTACTTTCAGCAGCCCACAGCTTGGTTAAATTGAGCAGAATATGAGATGGTATTCTCATACCTGGTTACTGTTCATGGCCGAGGAAGTGCCAATCTCTAAGTGATTGGCCGGAGTTAAAAGTCCGGGATTTAGACATCTTCAGCTCGGTACACAAAAGGCCATCTGTCAATGCTATCATTCTGAGACTGATTTTTGTGTGACTTCACTGGAAAAGACTTACATTTGAATCTCTGGAGGGTGAGGTAGCTTAGGATCAGGTTTCTGTGAAAGGCTGTAAAATGCTAAGTCCTGGTCAGTTAGACACCTACTATCCAGAAAAGTCTACAACTCTGGATTTCAAGTGACAGAAAATTGCTGGTGCGCAATCTGGAATCAAGCAGCTTCATCATAGTGGGAGGCCTCTGTCCTCTGTGTTGCCTGATGACCTAGGCAGCTTTTCACTCTGCATTGGATATTTGTGGGTCACCACTTGGAGCTCCTTCTCTTTGCTTCCTGTGTAGACCATGCCATTGTTTAGTTGTTTCACCTTCAGGTGCCCAGTTTCTACACATTTAAAGCCTAAGCTGAGACATGGAATATGTCCTGCTGAGTCTTCACTCACGTGTTTTTTTTCTTTCCTTATTCTCTGTGCAGCTTAACTTTTCTTTTTAATTAAATGGAGTTATTGTACTCGTGCACAGATATGAAATAGAGTGTTCTGGAATTAAGTGTTTGACATCTTCACAGTATTAATTTATTTTAAAAACTACTTTAAGAATGTCTATACATAAATAGTACTTATTAACATCAATGCTGTAGCAATCGAAGCTTGTTGTAAGTGATTAGAGCCATGCAATTCTTCAATAACTCTAGTCATCAAATCTTTTGTGGCTACTGTTAATTTCAAAACTGTCCTGCTTTTAAATAGATGATGCAACTAAAACTTCCATATGAAGCATTGTAATTATAAAATAGTCCATGCTCTGTAAAAGCCAAAGGAATTAACAGCAGTGAGGTTGTTAACTTGATGCGTTGCAATTATTCTTTCATTTACTATTGTGCATCCATTCTATCATTAGTTACAAGTAGATCAGGCTAAAAGAATGGCAGGAAAGTTCTACACATTTCCCTTGCCGTTTACAGTCTTTTGAAATTTTTGCCTAAATATCTGAAAGGAGAAATCTGTTACTAGTAATGATGACTATAACAACTGGGATCACAAAAATAGCCCCTTGGTTTCAGTTTTCCTTATTTGTTTGCTTTTCCTTCACACAAAAATTGTAGTAGGCACTTGAGGCTAGTAATAACATTTTAAACAAATGCTAGTGGAATCCAAGAACTTCCAGTTTAGCTCCTTTTTGTAATACCAGCAAACACAAAGTTATATATTGGCAAGTTCTCCATATTTTCAAGCTCCCCCACTGGCAAATCTTTGATTCCCTAAACTTCTGTTGTGTTATTTCCTATTAGTACTTGCATATATGTTGGATAGCATTCGTTTTTAGGACATCTAGTCAGGGTAATGTTGCAGTTACATTGTGTTAAGTTTGCTGTCAAGCCTTCTGAAGCATAAGCAGAAGATGAACTAATTCTGCAGTCACAATTGGCTAAGTAGGTACCTCCACTGGGTATTTTCTAATGAACATAAGACACACTTCTCCATCTCTGCACTGTGCTATATGCAGAACCTTTTGATTACTGCTTCTTTTCATTATGAAACGTTCACAACTAGGAAACTTTCCTTCTGTGTAGTATATGTTTTAGTACAAGTACTGAAACCATAAGACTGCCACAATTGTTTTTGTGATAGCAATTTGTTACAAGGGCTGTATAGATTTTCCATTTACTCATATTTATACTGCAGTTTTAATCTACAGAAGGTCAGGTTTTATTTACCTACCCATGCAATTGCCTAAGGGCTATTTTATAGCTGAAAAGAATTCATTCGGA